AACCTGGCTAAAACCAAACAATTACATTACTTTAAATGAGTCCACACCCCAAGATTACGGTTATAAACATGAACCTCGTATGAAAGGCAAAGGGAGAGGTGTTGCTGTAATTTATAGTAATATTTTCAGAATTACTGAGAAGTCTAGTTTCAAATATAATTCTTTTGAAGTGTTGGTGCTAAAAGTAATAATATCTAGTGTAAATGATAAATCACGTTTGAGATTTGTGCTGGCTACAGTATACAGGCCACCAGGGCACAATACAGAATTTATGTCACGGGATGCACACAAGAAAAGGTCCAAGTGCAGTTTAATGGGGTAATCCGTACCTGTCAACACTCCTGTTTTTGCCGGGTTTCTCCCGTTTTTTTAGCCCTATCTCCCGGACCCCTCCCGGTTTGTTATTTCTCCCAGGAAACTCCCGTAATTTGCATGGCCCAAACTCCTTTATGAATAATCGGACCAATATGTTTGTCTAATGTTGACCAGTTGCCAGATCTTGTAATGCATTATATTCACACAATCCACACATCATATACAATTTCAACCCGTTTGTCATCTCAACCTGGCAACCTATACCCCAGTTGCGCAGTCACGGAAAGCTCAACCCGAAAGCGAGGTTGAGCTTTATTTTATGTAAACCCATGCGGTATCACATTTAAAATAAACCGAATTAACACTATAGTGAAAAAAATTATGTTTACACACCTGAATATGGCGAAAAGGGTACCTGTGTGTGCGAATAAGGGTGAATAATGTCAATATTACCAACCCACTCTTCGCATCTGGATGGTGTAGTTTCGGCATCTACCAACAGGGGATAACTAGACCATGCTAACTAGCTATACCATGACCTTTATGTGTCTAGGCCTAAAGGGCCACTGCCCTGCAGAGTTTAGTTCCAACCCTAATCAAACACATCCGAAACCAGCTAATTAAGATCTTTAGAGTTACTAGGAAATTGCAGATATGCGAGTTTGATCAAGGTTTGAGCTGTGGAAGAATGTAAATTTTACATACATTCATCAAAGTCCAGTGTGGAAGTTTTTATTCCCTCTAGGCTAAACACACTATAAATACTCTTTGTAAACAACTTATCAACAATGGAGATGTTTGACTGTTTTAGCCTTGAGGTGAAAGATATAGAGATAGCAGAATTATGCATTTCTGTATTTGAAAATACACTATATTGCCAAAAGTTTTGGGATGCGTGCCTTTACATGCACATAAACTTTAATGACATCCCATTCTTAATCCGTAGGGTTTAATATGGCGTTGGCACATGCCCCCTTTGCAGCTATAACAGCTTCAACTCTTCTGTGAAGGCTTTCCACAAGGTTTAGGAGTGCGTTTATGGGACAAAATTTCTGTTACACAAATTTTGAAAGTCTGTAGCTATTGACTCTGCAGAAAGTTGCCGACTCCTCAGCATGCGCTGACCCCGCTCTGTGATTTTACGAGGCCCACCACTACGTGGCTGAGTTGCTGTTGTTCCCAATTGCTTCCACTTTGTTATAATACCACTAACAATTGACCGAGGAATATTTAGTAGGGATTTTTCACGAATTGACTTATTGCACAGGTGGCAACCTATCACGGTACCACGCTTGAATTCAGTGAGCTCCTGAGAGCGACACATTCTTTCACAAATGTTTGTAGAAGCAGTCTGCATGCCTACAGTATGTGCTTGCTTTTATACAACCTTGGCCACATGTGGCCTGGAAGTGATTGGCACTCCTGAATTTAATGATTTGGAGGGGTGTCCCAATACTTTTGGCAATATAGTGTAACTTTGCATTTGTACTGTTTGTACTGTTGTAGCCAAACAGTATGACATATAGATGTCTCATCTGACCTGTTCCACAATGAGGATGACAATAACACTCATTCATCCCCACAATAAATGGACATTCATTAGATACTATAATAATTATAATAGATTATAATAATTAGACTACTAAACACGTTAAATGTTAGAAAATGTAATGTAAGAAAATGTAAGAAATAGAGCGGATGGCCTATAGGTAAGAACATTGTAAATCTAAAATTAAGCATCTGTATTATATGATATAAAAAATTCTCAAACAACATAGCAACCAACAAACATTTTACTTTTGACGAACAATGCAGATAATAAGCTCATGCTTCTTGAATAACATACCTGGTTTTATTCATCACAATATAATATAATATAATACTATTTTAACAATAATGATGAAAAAGAACACCAGGAAAAACGAAATAAACAACTAAAAAGCAAAGAAGGAAAGATTTTTTTGTCATTATTCCTTAAGAGCTTAAAGAGAGCACATTCATTAGAGAGGAGTCAGTGTTAAATACTCCAAGAGTTAGAATTATTTTTAAACTTTTCTTAAACCAAGGGTATAACATAGCGTAAATAAGCGGATTGATAGAGGAATTAAGGTAAAAGAGAATCAAAACACTGTTGATAACATCAGAAAATGAGTCATCTCTTAAGAAATTTGTTAAAGAAAAAATATAATATGGCAGTAAACACAGGAGAAACACAAAGACCAGAATCCCCAGCAGTTTCGCAGCTTTTCGCTCTGATTTGTCACTGACTCTGTTTTTAGAGGATTCTTTGCTGTTGTGAACCTGAAGGGCTCTTATAGCAGTCACATGTTTCCTAGCAATGACAAAAACATGAGTGTATAATATTATGATGAGTGTACATGGCATAAGAAACACAACCAGGAGGTCAATGAGGGATGAAACCCCATCTACAATATAAAGACATTGTCCTGGACACATGACAGTGAAATTTCCATTAATGAAGAGAAGTGTGACGTTATAAAAGAGTGAAAACAGCCAGCAGAATAAAGTTGCTATGCAGATCACAGTGGGAGAGATTTTCTCTGAGTAAAAAAAAGGAGAATGTAAAGCCAGAAACCGATCAACTGCTATTAGAGCCACAGTGTGAACAGACACGCTTGTTGCTTGAAAAGTCACAAAATTGAAAACCGAGCACATCACTTGTCCAGAAATCCAACATGACTCTATGAGCCAAGACAGGTGAAGCGGCATCACAAAAACTCCGACCAGCAGATCAGACGCAGCTAAAGAGAGGATGAGGATGTTAGCAGGAGTGTGGAGCTGCTTGAAGTGACTAACAGAGATGATGACCAGCAGGTTTCCACACACAGTCAGAAGAGCCACAGCTGCTGCGGCCACATACAGAATCACATAGACAGAGAAAGAAACAGATCTCTCTGGACAGGAATATTCCTGACAGTCATCAGTTTGGTTCACAGCAGTAAGATTCATTCTGAAGTACATGGAAGAAACATCTAAACATACTGTTGTTCCTCTCTGACTTCCTTCATATAATGCGTAACCACAGATCTCTGAAGATGCTATTTGTCTCTCCAGCAGCTCTGAACTGCTCCTCACTGAAACACAGTCACTCCTGGAGGCTCCACAATAAAGATGTGCTACAATCTTTTATACACTTGACTTGACACGTTGACTCTTTCCAAGACCAACAGCATCAGGGGAGAAGAACATACAGCTGGGAGATCAACTGATGATTAGATATCTACTGATCTCTCTGGACAGGAATATTCCTGACAGCCATCAACGAGGTTCAGTGCTGTGAGATTCATGTGAAGTACTTTGGAGAGACATCAAGTCTTGGTATTTCCAGCAGAATCAGTCTCAGTCGATCCTCAGTGTAAAGGGTTTGCATTGTTCCATGAGGTGGATGACACAAACTTTGGCAAACATGTTCTGCTGATTTTTATACATAACCACTATCACTTTTTTCATTATTTAAAACTTAATGCGCAAGTGTTTCCCACTTTAAAACAAAAAACAACTTTCCACTATGTAGTTTCGACAGTTTGGAGGACATTTTTCACAGTTTTAATCGGATCTTTGTCGACCTTAAGTCACTAAACTTATATTTACGTAATGCGGCACTTTCATCCAAAGCCATTTGGGAAGAATTTGAGAAGAGAGAGACCAGAGTGATGTAAAAGATATGAAAGTGACACAAATACAGTTATTCCGCAGAGAGCTGTGTAATAATAAGTTTGTGTAAATGTTATGCACATGAATTGTCTCTTTTTGAATAGTAATCTTTGGAATAGCCTACTTAACTCAGACAACATTTACTCAGACCCCAAATTGAGTTTTATTAATTTCAGAATTAAAAGAAATACACCTCTAGATTAACCACATATAAACTTGTATTTGCCATAATTTCTCTCCACATAAACATTTCAGCTTTTGGATAAATGTATATATATATATATATATGAGATATAGCTAATGCCAAAAATAGAAACATGATTGCCTTTATAAATTAATTAGGCAGCTCTATAGCAAGCATTTTGCTACTCATTTTAGCAAGTTACGGAAAGCAACCCTGTGTGAGAGCAGGTTAAAGGTCAACCGCCTGCCATTAGAGCTGAGCTGAATATGCAACTCCACATTTGATAATATCTCCATCTAGTGGTTATTTCCTTTCACAATCAGTCAACTGGATAAACCTGATTTAGCTCGCATCCAGTGACTACCTGTTCAACACTTTGTACTCTTTTTAGGTTATATAACATTTGTGTAAAACAACATCATAGAGACAGACAAAAATGTAGTAACATTGTAAATTGTAAATCATTGCAGCATCCATTTCAGAATAATTTTACAAAGAAGTTTTGGCACAGTGAGACAGGATACATGGTTCATGATTAATAAGATTAAAAGGAATTGGGAAACACGACGTGCATTAAGAATTCATCTACTTATCATGCAGTAAGCTTTACATTCTACTGGATATGAGACTTTTCAGGGTAATATAATAAGCTGAACATTTCTGTAATCCATAAAATTGTTTGGTTTGTGCTTGAGATTCACATATATGTATAATTATTACTCATTTTTAAAACAACAAAGTTGGATTTAAAAATACAAAAATTGAAAAATAGAGTGCAACCTTTTCATTTGTGCATATATATATATACTTACACAGTGGACCTAAATGAATCTGACACTACCAGTCAAAATTTTATTCACATCTACTCATTCTTTATGACTATTTTATATATTTTAGATGAATAGTAAAGTCATTATAGCTATGAAACAACAAATGGAAGTAAATTATGTAGTGACCATAATGTAAAAAAAAACAAAAAACTTTTCGGTAACACTTTAGTTTAGGGTCCAATTCTCACTATGAACTGCAAATTATTATTAGCATGCAAATTACTAGGATATTAACTGTTTGTTAGTTATTATGAAGCACATATTAATGCCTTATTCTGCATGACAATATTCTACATCCCTTAATCCACCCAATACCTAAATTTAACAACTACCTTACTAACTATTAATAAGCAGTAATTAATGAGTTTATTGAGGCAAAAGTCATAGTTAATATAATTTTATAAAATTTTGTAATATTATAAAAATGTTATTATTGCATAGATATTTATGCATAAACACAATTTCTATTTGTCTACAAAACTAATTTTGATCATTTAAGCAACTGCCTTCAGATCAAAAAGTTAAGATGATGAGAAATGGTTTCAAGTGTCAAGTATCTAATGTTTTGACTGGCAGTGTACTCACAGTGACTACGTTTACATGCAGCCAAATGTCGGGTTAAGGTCACTATTCGGGTTTCTGAAACATTAGGGATAACCCGTTTACATGGGTGAGCAGAGAGAGTTACTCCTGTATACATGGAATTGCAATATCCCGATGTAAACGCGACGCGCGGTTAGCGTCTGGACGTACGGACAACCTTAAGACGCAATATGCGTCATTTCCGATTCTTCTTCCGGTATCCAAAGAAAACAACAACAGCAGCACGCGGATAATGAATAGTTCGGGGCAGATAGCGATCGCCTTTGTTTGCGCTTTGGTGCTGGTAACGTTACTGACCTCGCTCCAAAAGTATGCTGTGCTGCGTCTCGCCATGTTTACTTCCGGTATACTGCACGCGGGGTTTTGTATGCGCCGAGAAGTTTTTCTACTCAAAAGACCAAGATTCCTTGCGAATAGAACATGCGCAGAACACACATCACTATGGGGATATGCCGATGCGCGTTTACATGACCAAAAATTCGGGTTAGAAAAGGGGTACCCCAGGTATAATATCCCGGTTTTTAAAATCCGGGATATGAGCATATTCGGGTTTTTGCCGGTGTTTACATGGCCGTTCGCGACCGGGTTATTGCTAATATCCCGGTTTTGAACGGGTTATTGGCTGCATGTAAACGTAGTCAGTGTCTTTCTTCAAATAAAGTGTTTGAGAACAGTTTAAAGGTCAAGTGCCCTTAAACATCTTTATAGCAGCAGTTTTATACTGACTGACAGAGAAAAAAAAACATTAATTTGTGCCATTTTCAACCATTGAAAATGTATCTTTAGGGCATTTTACTATAAGGAATGCTTGCTTCTAGAACAATTCAGATGGGTGGAAGATGCACAGAGCTGGCAATGGCATCATTATTGGTTAACAGTTGCAATGTTAAAATTATTTTCTAGGTTAAACAAGTTAAATGGATAGTTCGCCCCAAAAATGAGAATTTTGTCATCTATTCACCCTCAATTTGTTCCAAACCTGTATGAATTTCTATTTTGAAGAATGTTAGTGTCACAAGATGAAGAAGATGAGGATGAAGGAGAGTCCAAAAAGAGTTCAATAAACAAAACGGGTCCTTTAATGACAACAAACTCAGGTAATCCACAAAGATAAAGGCAAAGTGAGAAACTAAAAGTCCATGAAAATAAATAAAAAATCAAAGATAACTGAGTGTTCATGACAGTTGGTAACCAGACAGTTGATGAGCCCCATTGACTTCAATAGATTGGAAAAAAATACTATGGAAGTCAATGGGTGCCATCAACTGTCTGGTTACTAACATTCTTCAAAACATCTTTTGTGTTCAAGAGAAGAAAGAAACTCATACAGGTTTGGAACAACTTGAGGGAGAGTAGGCTAAATGATCGAATTTTCATTTTTGGGTGAACTATCCCTTTAAGCTTTATGTACAGTCTCTGTGGAATGTTGTAACTCAGTGCATTGTTTTTTGCTTTAAAAACAAAAAAATATTTTCTGTGGTAATGGATGGCACACCAAAGATGCCCTTCACAGAGTTAAGCTGTTATTAAATATTCCATTAATGACAATATCTTAACTGCAGCTAAAAGTCAAGTCAAGTTAGCTTCTCTTGGTGACAAACCTCTGCAAGTCATTGACAACATGCCAGTGCAAATGCTGTGGGGCATCAGATGGAGTTGACACACACTCATTGTTTCTGAGACGCCCAGACAATCAAACCAATAATGACAGCCACCACAACCAGAATAGCGATGAAGATGAAAATCTTCTTGCGGAATGACGTCTACAGGGAGCAGAAGAAATGAGTCACTAGTATAATATTCATAATAATGGTTGTAACAGTTGGTTGTAACAACTAAAAAACAGTACATTTAATTTATTATAGTAATTTATTTAAAAAATATTTAATTAAATAGTAATTTAATTAAAATATATGAATGCAATATACTTGAGCTGCAATATACAATAAAAAAGTAGCATACGAGTAGCATAAGTGTAGGCCGTACAAGTACCGGTACAAGAACTCAAACACATTGAGTGCAAGGGAAGCTTTCCAGCAAATTCCAACTTAAATTTGCATCTGTTTCTCAAACAAAGCTATTGTATGACTTGGAAGCGATTGTGAAGTAGTGCAGAAGTCATTTAGGCTATTTTCATGGTGCATTTTTGTGCTTTTTGGAGCTTGACACTGACAGTGTCCATCTTTCATTTGGATAAATTTCTCCTTTTGTGCTCCACAGAGGAAATAAAGCCATACGGGTTCGAAATAAGGTGTGGGTGAGAATGATGTACCTGGTAACTTGCTGCTCTATTCAGATTTTGTGTTGCTGACTGCACATGGGCCTCTGTGGTCGATACATTGGCCTCTATACTGTCTGCAAGACGAGAGGGAGATAAAACATCTAAGGGTTAAACACAGAATTAATTTCTTTCCTACAGTGAGAACTGATCAAATATTCCGACTCTGTTATTTGCATAAAAAATGTATTATTCTCCATTTAAAACAAAAATGTTGTTTAAGGATAATGCACAGTCCCTCAGAACTTCATTCAAAATCCCTTAGTGAGCAATATTTCATAATTCATTCAGTTATGCATCTCAAAGTTTTGGTGGGTAGCACAAACAATGATGCAAACTGTTGTAAATTGGATGAAATATCACATATGTAAACAACACCAATAGGTGCTTGCTAATAGCTCATGTCATTAAAAGTTTAGTGCTTGAACAAACAGTCCCACTGAGCTGGTGTGTGTGAAGCCTCGCAGGTCTTCATTATCAACATCTGCTTTTCCCTTTAACACCTTTAATTGCACTTTCCTGTCTAAGAGTTTCATCACTAAAAACACACTCCCCCTCAGAGACAAGTCTAAAAACACAACAGATTTTATTTTATTTGAAATATCTTTAATATAATTATTAAACAAGTATTATACTCATTTATAATATATATATATAGAGAGAGAAAGAGAGAAATCTCCAGGCCTGGATCTGCTCTGTGTTCAATGCAATTATACAGAAAAAAAAAGCTAAAATATTGTTATAAAAAAGACAATTTCCTAAAATCGTATGCAGCATCCAGTTAATTGACAGATCAAAATCAAAAACGAAACTGATTCAACTTCTTTTAATCTCACAGCCATAGTCTTAAAATTAGATTTAAACTATTAAAACTTTTTTGAGAGCAAGGGGGCCCCCTGGTGGTTGCGTAATTTGCGTATAGGGAGAACCCGCACTGTCTTCCAAACTCAAGTGTCCACCAGCAAACTTTTGAAACAGTTTATTTGGACTCACTATTTTGAATGCAATGTAGGCCTAATATATATTCGGGAGTCAACTATTTTGACCTGGGTCAGCAACCATTTGGCATTGCCCTGGCAACCTTCTTGTATATCCTAGCATCATGTGGGAAGAGTTTTTCGTGGTTGCCACTCAGTTTTAAAAGTGTAAAAAACTAGTTATATCTCTCTTGAGATCTTACCAATCATGTCTCCCTGTTCATGCACCATCATGCCCAGATCTCTGAAGATGTCATTAATATTTGTAATGTCCGACTGAAAAACAAGAGAGAGTGTTTAACTCATGCCTAAACTATTCAAATTGTATTACATTAGCACAATGCTTGTCACTTGTAAGATTATTAGTTCTTTGATGAGTTGGGGTTTGAATGAGTCTCACCTCCAGCTGTCTGATTGCTGATTCTCTCTCCTGAATGAGCTGCAGATCTTCTTCTGTGAAGTTCTCCTCATAGCTCTGAGTTTGAGCCTGAATCTCACTAAAAACACACACAGAGAACAGTTGAAGACATACATTCAAGTTTTTTTAAGCATAAATGTGACAGGACGCATTTAAAGTTCGCCTATTATGCCATTTTAAAGGTTCTTCATTTTGTTTAGTTCAACTACAATAGGTTTACATGCATCCGCTCCAATTTTCTCATAATATACATTGCAACATCTCTTCTTTTTTCACAGTGTCTGAAACGGTTCGATAAAGGATTCAGTCTCTCTAAACCCCTCCTTTCCGACAACCTGCTCTACTCTGATTGGTCAGATGGCTCAGTCTTTTGTGATTGGTCGACCGCTTACAGCGCGTGTTGAAAACGAAATGACCATTACCATATCTGAATTTCAGCTCCAGAGGCTTCCTCAGCACTTGTAAACACAATGTTAAAGTGTTAGTTCACCCAAAAATGAAAATTACCCCGTGATTTACTCTCCCTCAAGTCATCCTAGGTGTATATGACATTCTTCTTTCAGACGAATACAATCGGAGTTTCGAATATGGATATTTTTTTTACACTAACACATCGATTCACTTCAGAAGGGCTTTATTAACCCCCGCAGAGCCGTGTGGATTACTTTTATGATGGACGGATGCACTTTGATGGACTTCAAAACATAATCTGCCATCCACTGCCATTATAAAGCTTGGAAGAGCCAGGACATTTTTTAATATAACTCTGATTGTATTCATCTGAAAGAAGAATGTCATATACACCTAGAATGACTTGAGGGTAAGTAAATCATGGGGTAATTTTCATTTTTGGGTGAACTAACCATTTAAGGACAGTAATGATTGGGACGGTTTCAACGTATCAATTCGAGCGCGGGTCCTCATCCTTTGATAGTGCATGCAAAGTGAAATTAGCTTTCACAGCGCAGAAAACAGTGTCTTCTCGAGATGTCGTCAACAAGAACCAAATTCTTCTAGGCCTCAGCTACAACTACAGCGTTTGAGGGCAAGTCAAAGTAAACATTCGCAGCCAGCCAATGAAGACCACAGGCTGGCATTATGTAAATTTGTTACAAACCTAGGTAGGTACGTGCAGGGAGACTGGAATTACTCAATTCTTTCTTTTGGGAGACAAAAACTCCATTTAGCATGCATTATGATCTTTGAAACTTTGCAGGCCTTTTACATTAACAAACAGATATATTACACACTAAATCAGGGGTGCCCAATCCTATTCCTGGAGACCTACCTACCTGCAGAGTTCAGATCAA